TCTCTTCTCTCTTTCTCTCTCTCCCCCCCCCCTGGACCTGCTTGATAGTTTCGCGCAACACACTTTGCAAAGTTGCGTCGGGTCATCTGCATTGAGGGTCGTTGTCGACAAGTCAGGTTATGTCGACTGTGCTGTAGGTCGAAGAAGGCGTCCCGCCGTGCCAAGCTATGCGGCGCTGTGCGGTCAGGTTACGTCGGACAGTCTATATATTTCCGGAGTCTCTCTCTCTCTCGTGGGAGCGTAAAAAGGGGGCGGGGCTGTGGACATGACGCTCCGCGCGCCAAATGATTTTCATTTGAGAGTCAAACGAAGCTGACGAGGGAGCAGTAAACCGCGAAGGGACGGAGAGAGAGAGGGAGGGAGAGAGAGAGAGAGAGAGAGAGAGAGAGAGAGAGAGAGAGAGACGAGGACGTCCGAGACGTAACGATGCAGCATTCAAAATCCGGTGCCTCGTGCAGACCGTGTGAGTTCCTTCTTCATGGAGTTCGGCTGGACCTCGAGCGCACAGTGGCTTTGCCAGAAGACCGCGGTGGAAGTGCTCTAAATCCTAGACGCGTTTTGAGATCCAGAGTCGCTAAATGGGACGAACCGAACGTGTGACCCCACCAATGGATTCCTCGTTTGAAGAGCAATCCATTGGTGGGGTCACACGTTTGGTTCGAGTCCCGTTTGGCGACCCTGCAGCTCAAAACGCGTCTAGTGTTTTGGCCGCCTCCTCCGGTCTTCTGGCCCACTGTGCAGCGCGCTTGTTCCAGCCTCCTTCCAGTGGTGGAAAACTCTGGTGACAAATTGACTTTTGCAGGAATACTCCATCCCATTCTTCCCGCACAAGTTCTCCAGAGGTAGACGGACGGCATGTGACTGGGGTGCTCTTGTCAGCTTCGCTCGCCCGAGGCGCCCACACGTCCTCTTCTGTTTCGTTGTTTTTGCTTTATTTTGAAATTTAATGCAGGTTCGCTGGCATGGTCTCGTTATGATGGCGAAGTTTCGTTTTTCGTTTCTTTGTATAAAGACTCATGTCATGTGAGGGGCCGAGGCCTATACACCGGTATAACGGAGTTGTTGCCGACTGTCCCCTTTTTTTATCAGCCCAGATCTTTTATTTATTTATTTTTCTTTTGTGGAACTGCTTCCATTTCCCGTGCCTCATTTTGCCCTTTCCTCCATGTCCAGTGATCCTCGCGCGGACCTCGACGATAGCCCGACGGGCCGCTGTCTGGGCTGTGACGCTGCGAGGCAGAAAAGGGAGAAAAAAAGGGGGAAAAGAAATCTGAAGCCTGCCGTGGGACTCATGGCATCATAACCCTCTGATCTTTAGCCCCCACCCCGCCCCGCCAACAAATTCACCCCCACCAGGGGAGCTATCTCGGGGGGTCGCTACCCCCCCCCCCCTTTCCTCCGCTACCCATCATCCCCCCTCCCCCCTCCTCCAGCGCTGGAGCATCTTATTTTGACAAACTTGCCCTGGAAGTAGCACATGTGCGACAACACGGAGAGAGACCGCTAAGAAAATATCGGGCCGCCAGCAGTAGGGGGCACAGCGTCATGCGGCGAGGGGGAGGGGGGAGGGGGAAGGGGGAAGGGGGGATGTAAAACACTGGGGGGCGACACATGGGTGGCGACGAGGTTGCGGGGAGCGACGTTGTTGAAATACGGCGAAATACAGGCGGCGGCCACCACGGCCTCGCTCCCAAAAGCGACTCCCCCCCCCCCCCCGGCCGGCCGAAGCCAAACGGGCTGTTAATCTGAAAATTGTTGTTTTTAATTCGCGGCTAAGGAAACACGAGCTCCTTGGCAGTGGCGGGCCTTAATGGGGCTGCACTGCTAAATGTAGGGCGTGGAGGCGGCTCGCTGCGGATAATCACTTTCGGCTTCAAAATGACCGGGCGGGGAGGGGGAAAGGGGGGGGGGCCTTGCCTCGCTGGATTACCTCCGCGGGGCCCGGGGGTGGCCGGGGGGGGGCGGGGCGGGGCGGGGGGCGGGGCGGGGGGGGCGGGGCGGGGCGGGGGGGGCGGGGGGGGGGGGTGAGGCACTCCTCGCGTTGACGGCACCTCCCGCAGTCTTCCAAACACCCTTCCCACACACGCTAAATTATTCATGAATTACTTATACGCTCGTGAGATTCGTTTCGTATAAAGTCATGATGAGTCCGCCGGCGAGAGGATGCCCCGCCCCGGCCGACTTGCAGTGCAGGCCGAGCCCTGGGTTCGAGGACGGCGCGTCAAATCGCATTTACTCCTCGCTCTTTTACGAACAAAGGAAGGCAACTTTTTCCGACCAGACCGAATTTCACCCGTCGCAGAGGAAAGAGAGAGTGCGGTTACCCGGCTTAGATTGCCGCGATTCTTGGTCGTTTGTCACCGTTTGTACCAACTTGGCGGCAACACTGCTTCCAAGTCAAGGTGGCTTCACTCGATCTTGGTGTGTGCCGTGTTGCTGCTTCACACGAGTAGCAAAGCTCCCCCCCCTCTCTCTCTCTCTCTCTCTCTGTCTCTCTCTCTCTCTCTCTCTCTCTCTCTCTCTCTCTCTCTCTCCCTCTCGCCAGCCCGGCATCGGCAAGGCGCATGGTGGGGCTGCATAATGCAAACATGCAGCGCGCTTGGCAACCGTGTTTGCGCAAAATGGCGGCAAAATACAAATAGTGTGTGACTTTGTGCTTCCGGTCATTTTTTGTTACTTTTTTGGCTCTTCTTTTCCTTTTGCCAGTGTGGCCGCCTCGCGCAATCCCTCTAAGCCCTCGCTGAGGGGCGGCCGGCACGGCCAGCACGGCCAGGCCGGAGTTTGTGTGCCTCACGTACGAGCACCGTTAAGGGCTGCATCCAGTACACGTTCGACTCGCGGAGGAGGGGAGAGAGAGAGAGAGAGAGAGAGAGAGAGAGAGAGAGAGAGAGAGAGAGAGAGAGAGAGAGAGAGAGAGAGAGAGAGATGAGAACAAGGGAGCGGACAGGCGGGAAACGTCGAGCAGAGGACTGATGTAGGGAAACAACGCATGAAGACGAAACAAAAAAATTTCGAAATCACCGTTTGAAACGACATTATTTTTAGGTACGGTGTAAATGCGGGAAACTTTACCCCCCAAAAAATGCAAAGCTGCTATTTCCCCACGGGGGAGACTGTTTCGAAAGAGTGCGGCGTGGGATGAAGGACGGGAGAGAGAGAGAGGGAGGGAGAGAGAGAGAGAGAGAGAGAGAGAGAGAGAGAGAGAGAGAGAGAGAGAGAGAGAGAGAGAGAGCGCTTCGCGCAAGACGAGGAGAAAGAAACACGTGTAGGAATAATTTCACATGCCAAGCTCTCCGGATAAAACTGGGCGAGGCTTTGCGCCGCTCTGCCGCTCTGCCCGGCCTCCGTGTTGCCTTAATAAATACTGGAGGTTAGGCCGTCCTATTGACATACGTTCTCCCTCCGAACGACTGCACAGTGGGCCAGAACTCTAGACGCGTTTTGAGCTCCAGAGTCACTGAACAGTACTCGAACCGAACGTGTGACCCCACCAATGGACTCCTCGTTCGGAGAGCAATCCATTGGTGGGGTCACACGTTCGGTTCGAGTCCCACTTCGCGACTCCGGAGCTCAAAACGCGTCTTGGCCGCTTCCACCGGTCTTCTGGCCCACTGTGGGCTGCACGTCCGGGCCTGGTCCGGGACTCCAAGGAGGGCACGAGGAAGGACCCCGCGAGCCGCGCGACCACACTGAGAAGCTCGCACGGGTGGGCGCCACCAGTGGGTCAGAAGCACTGGAAGGCAGGGTGCGGTACAGCCCGCCTCAAAACAGCGCCGTTCGCTCGACTGTGTGGAGACGAACAGAGTGGGTCCACTGCCAAAGAGGCTCCTAATCTCCAGTAATTATTTAAGAAAAACTTAACATTCGTAAAAAGAGCGACCGACTTTGGATTTGAAGTAGCAGAAAACGGTACGCAGGCGTCGGGAGTCGAACCCGAGCCGCAGCCTCTGCGCGGCACAACAGGGCATTTCTTCACGAGGAGGATGGATCGGGGCGGACCGGATTAATGACAGCCGAGAGGGCCGAGGCCTCCAGACAGTCCGACTTAATCTGCTTCTGTGTGTCTGCACCGACCGCCCCGGCCTTGGCCCCGCCCCGCCCCGCCCCGTCCGCGCATCCACGGCTCAATCCTGCGTGTGGATTTATCAAGACCTCCGACTGCCTGCCTGCCTGTCTGTCTGTCTGTCCGTCTGTCTATCCGTCCGTCCGTCCGCCCGCCTGTCTGCTGATAAACTAAATTTCCCTTGGATGGATTCCTCAAGGCGCTAACTGCTGAATGTGCCTGACCGCGATCTGGTTGGGTAGACGAGCTGGCCGTGAGTAATACTCTGCTGTCAGGCTCACGCCTCCCCCTGCCCCTTCCCCTCTCTCTCTCTCTCTCTCTCTCCTCTCTCTCTCTCTCTCTCTCTCTCTCTCTCTCTCTCTCTTTCTCTCTCTCTCTCTCTCTCGCTCGCTCTCTCGCCCCCTCGCTCTCTCTTCCCCTCCCGCTGGAGCGGGATTCAATCTTTCCAGGCGCGTGGATGGAGTGGCCCCCCACCTGTCACTCAATCCATCAGGCGAGGACCTCAATAATCAATGAGTGGGATCCTGGAGGCACTGAGCGTGGCCATTCCTCACGCCTAAGCCGTCTAATTCCCGCCCTGAGAAGGCCATCTTCAATGTTCGCGTCGAGTGGCCGCGCGCGTTGAGGCTCCGACCAGCAGTCTGTGTACCGGGGTTCAAGTACCGGCTCCACTTATATTTTGTGTGTGTATGTGTGTGTGTGTGTGATTCTGCAACGTCACTGTAATTAAGAAGTCGGCTGGTCGAGTTGGCGTGGGTTCGAACCCGGCCTGTCGGCCTGACTTTCTTTCTTCCCTTATCTCGCTCTCTCGCGGTTTGAGCTCCAGAGTCCCTAAATGGGACTCGAACCGAACGTGTGACCCCACCAATGGATTGCTCTCCGAACGAGGAATCCATTGGTGGGGTCACACGTCCGGTTCGAGTCCTGTTTACCGACTCTGGAGCTCAAAACGCGTCGCGAGTTTTGACTGGCTTCGGATCCAAACCTGACTGGTTCTCAACTCGCCCTTCCCGTGTTGCAGCTGTCCAACCTGGTGGAGTACTACACGGAGTCGCTGTCGCACGAGCACGCCGGCGGCCACGGCGGCCACCACGGCCAGGACGACGAGCGGCTGGAGTCTGTGCGCAGCTCGGTGCAGGTGACCGGCCACCAGAGCAAGATGTCGCTCAGCTGCCGCGCCACCATGTTCAACGTGTACCAGCAGTCCAGCGTCAAGGTGGAGCTGCAGAGCGAGGGCGCGCCCAAGCCCGCCCCCGTGCGGAAGGCCAGCAGTGCCGCCAACGGTACGTCGACAACACAGTGGGCCAGAAGGCCGGTGGAGGCGGCCACAATCCCGGACGCGTTTTGAGCTCCAGAGTCGCTAAATGGGACTCGAACCGCACGTGTGACCCCACCAATGGATTGCTCTCCGAACGAGGAATCCATTGGTCGTTTCTTTAAAAACGTAGTCTCCGTCAGTTTCAACCACCTTTTGGATCTCCCAATCTATTTTTAACAGTGCAAAAGGTCTTGCCGACTTGCCACTAGGCCAGGTGACAGCCGAAGACGGTTCTTGCTCCCCAAGTCCGCCAGCAGCTCGAGTTGGCTCTGCCGCCCTGGCAGGGCTGGTGGCCCGGCGGGTCCGGCGGTCTCTCAAAGGCTTGAAAGCTTCCCGGAGCTGCCGCGAGAGGCTCTGGTCGCAGACACCTCCGCTGCGAACACGTGCGAGCCGAGCAAGGCGGTCAGATCTCTGATCTCGGAGAGAGAGAGAGAGAGAGAGAGAGAGAGAGAGAGAGAGAGAGAGAGAGAGAGAGAGAGAGAGAGAGGACAGGCCCAGGCTGGACAGAGCAGACGCCCCGACACCTGTTCGCTATCTGATGGGCAAGCTGCGTCGCTCCAAGATTTCACACAGAATTCGCCGTATTTTCCGGCACGCTGCTTTTTCCACTCTTCTTTTTTTCGAAAGACTCGCTTCTATTGCATGAAAGAAAGGTCGCGGACCGAAACCGTAAAAAAACTGTCAGAAGCACGCGGAAATGAGCGAGGCGGGGCTATTTTGGCGACGTGATTGGCACGTTGTTAGCGATGACCCGAGCGGGACGCGGCGGGGCGGGACACAGTGGGCCAGAAGACCGGTGGAGGCGGCCAAAACTCGAGACGCGTTTTTAACCCCAGAGTCGCTAAATGGGACTCGAACCCAACGTGTGACCCCACCAATGGACCAATGGATTCCTCGTTCGGAGAGCAATCCATTGGTGGGGTCACACGTTCGGTTCGAGTCCCATTTAGCGACTCTGGAGCTCAAAACGCGTCTAGAGTTTTTGGCCGCCTCCACCGGTCTTCTGGCCCACTGTGCGGGACGCGGTGTTCGTCTTGTTGTGTTGGCGTTACTGGAGTGCGTCCCGGCTGCCTTGGCTGGCTCGGCGCTTTGAAGCTGACGTGGCGCGTCTTGACCGCCAACCGCGTCGCGGCGCTGCGGTGCGCTGCGGTGTGCCAGTCGCGCTGCGAGTCAATAGCAGCGCAGTGCCGCACAGTGCACCAGAAGACCGGTGGGGGCGGCCAAAACCCCGAACGCGTTTTGAGCTCCAGAGTCGCTAAAAAGGACTCGAACCGAACGTGTGACCCCACCAATCCCTCTTGTGGCAGCACTGGTCCCTGTGTTCCCGGTGCCGCCTGCGGAGTCGAGCGTAGGCACCGCCACACTGGTGCGTGCGGCGGGCTGGCCTACCCGCCGTTCCACAGGGGCTCTGAGGGAGACAGACGCACACGTTTTGATCCACATTTTGACGGTTGCCACTTTTCCCGGACGCGTTTTGAGCTCCAGAGTCGCTAAATGGGACTCGAACCGAACGTGTGACCCCACCAATGGATTGCTCTCCGAACGAGGAATCCATTGGTGGGGTCACACGTTCGGTTCGAGTTCCCTCTAGCGACTCTCGAGCTCAAAACGCGTCTAGAGTTTGGCCGCCGCCGGCCGGCGGTGGCCCACTGTGCAGCGCAATTAAGCGAGATTGTGCCGAATACCAGGAAGTGTGGCGCCGGCCGCATGAAAAAAAAATGGGGGAAAAAGTGGAGTGGGAAGAAAAGCAGAAGGAGAATGTCTGCCTGGGACTGACGCAGACTTCTTAAGAAGAGTGATGGTGTACGGTGATACCGGTAAGGCTGCCGTGTCGTGCCACGCCGCACCGCGCCGCGCCGAGCCCCGGACTCACGCCAAGTTGATAATCGATTTGGAGTGACTCTGACGGAGGCGAAGAAGAGACAGGGTTTGCGTGGACTCCATCAGGGAAATGGCCTGCCACACTGCCAGAAAAAATTCAGGGGAACCTGTACTTGAAAAGACAGTTCTCGATTCGCCCCGAAATAGTCACAAAGTCACCCCGGTTTACAGTACACTGTGAACCGCAACGGCGACCGCTCTCTGAAATTCCGTGCGGTGCCGGCTGTCTTGTTGTTGTTTCTATAAATTGTTGGCGATGCCGGGCGCGTCTCCAAGGACGATCCAAGGACGGCGCCGCAAACCCCGACACCCCGGTCCGCGCTTGTCCACTGGGGAGACACATTGCACCGGTTACTTCTCCGCTGATTCCCTTTCCCTCCCTCGATACCGAACGCTAGGACCCTTTGAGCCTGAGGGGAGGCCCTGTTTGTGTTGATGTACTGCATGGCTCTCACGGGGAGCACTGGCCCGGGCAGGCCCGCACAGTGGGCCAGAGGGCCGGTGGAGGCGGCCAAAACTCTGAACGCGTTTTGAGCTCCAGAGTCGCTAAATGGGACTCGAACCGAACGTGTGACCCCACCAATGGATTGCTCTCCGAACGAGAAATCCATTGGTGGGATCACACGCTCGGTTCGAGCCCTGTTAAGCGACCCTGGAGCTCAAAACGCGTCTAGAGTTTTGGCCGTCTCCACCGGTCTTCTGGCCCACTGTGGCCCGCCCTCCCACGAGTGGGGGAGGGGGCACATGTGTCAACAGCCTTGGGGGCTCCCCACTCGGTGGGTACCACTGCGAAGGCGGGCCAACCCGAATTGCTACCACTGGAAAAGTACGGTTGAGCGGTACAGTGGGCCCGAAGACCGGCGCAGGCGGCCAAAACTCTCGACGCGTTTTGAGCTCCAGAGTCGCTAAACAGGCCACGAACCGAACGTGTGACCCCACCAATGGATTCCTCGTTCGGAGAGCAATCCGTTGGTGAGGTCACACGTTCAGTTCGAGTCCCATTTAGCCATTTCATGATTAATTTTCCTCACATTAATATCATCAAACTTTTTGATGCCGTCAAGTGGCTTAGATGGTTGCCGACACCAGCTGCGGTCCAAGTCAGTGGTTCAACTCCCGGCATCATTTAATTTTTCTATTTTTTTTTCTGTCAATTGATACATGCGCGCCGCTTTTATCTGTGTCCTCCAAGACGCGGGGGATAGCATTCGACCCGGGTCCTGGCGTCCACTCAGGGGCACGTCTCCAACTTGCACAATCAGAAGCCGCTTCTTCTCTGTCCGTCCGTCCGTCTGTCCGTCCGTCTGTCCGTCCGTGAGTGTGTGCGAGTGTGTCCGTCCAGGGGACACAGGCGCACCCAGAAGAATCGGAGAGAAGGCCGAGCCTGATAGGTAGGGAGGGGGAAGTAGACAGAGACTATTTGCATTGTTAATTGTCTCATCAGGCGGTGCCAAAAATGGCGCCTAACGAAATAAGCGCATGGCTCTTCCGCTCCGGACAGTCGCACTGCAGCCGCAGTGAGAGAGAGAGAGAGAGAGAGAGAGAGAGAGAGAGAGAGAGAGAGAGAGAGAGAGAGAGAGAGAGAGAGAGAGAGAGAGTAAGTCACGCTGCAGGAAACGCGCTATGCTTCCCGGCGACGGACAGAGAATGAAGCGAGATAGCGCGTAACTCAATTTACTTTTTTGAAGAAAATTTGTCACACGCCACGCGGCCAAATGGGCCAGGAAGTGACCTGCATCGGCCACTTCTTGGCCACGAAAACGTTTCGCCACTGTCACGACGCCTTCGTCAATGTGCCCCCGTGCGCGTCTACCGATCCCTGGGAACAAAAAAAAAAAGATTAGTAGAAACGCATTTAAAAGAGAGAGGGGCGGAGAGGGGAAAAAAAGGGTTTGTTGGCAGCCGACGCTGAAATTATTCGTGTCGTAATGAAATCGGTCACCATGAATAGACAGCACGGATCACTTGACTCTCGATACTTTTTGTTTCATTTTCTGTTTGAGATTCCGCCTAATGAACACGATTCAGGGCGGACTGGTTCGCCAAGACTAGCTTCTGTCTCTCTCGCTGCCCGGGAACGACCCGAGACAGAGGGGTGACGAAAACAGTTTCGGAAATTGCAGCACCCTGCACCAGAAAAACTAGTTTCTGACCGAAAAACTCAGGGGAGGGGATCTGGAACCACGGCGATGACGCCGCGACGACTCGAAGCAGGAACGCCCCGCCCCGCCCCGCCCGCATCGTGTTTCGGCAGACAATGAAGCTCTTCGCCCTCATCCATACTAACTCGATCCCGGCCCTTTTTCGCCCGTCTCACCTGTCCCTTTTGGCGCCTTAGCGCCCTTCGCAAATTGGGTACAGGCCCTCAGTGAAGGGCGGCCCGCCGCGGCCCGCCGCGAGGACCAGCCAGCACCAGCCGGCCTCGGCAGTTTGCGAAAGGGACTCGAACGGATTGCCCTCGGACGAGGAGCCCGCTGTGGCGCCGCGCGTCGGCCGAGCTCCGCTCAAGGAAGTGTCACAGTGGGCCAGAAGACCGGTGGAGGCGGTCAAAACTCCAGACGCGTTTTGAGCTCCAGAGTCGCTCAATGGGACTCGAACCGAACGTGTGACCCAACCAATGGATTGCTCTCCGAACGAGGAAGCACAAGTCTGGAATGTGCTGGAATGGAGTTCCGTCTTGAGGGCCGCACTGGAGCACCTGGACTGCGGCAGACGGACGGACAGACGAACAGACAGACAGACGGACGGACGGACAGACTGACAGACAGACAGATAGATAGACAGGCAGACAGACAGCCGGTGCGTCTCTCACACGCATAACTCGAGCAGTGAGTCTAGGCTTGCAGGCTGCAGCGTTGCAGCAAAAGGCATTCTCGGCTGCTCCCGTTGGCCACAGAGCCCCTGCTCTCCTCTCCCTGGTGCCTGCACTGCCAACGGCACGGCCAGCACTGCCGGAGTCTCGGAAATCCTTGCTCCACTTTCTCGCTCGGCCCTCTGATCCCTGCACCGCCTGCTGCACTCAAAAAATAATATCACCTCTTTCGTTTTTTTTAGCAGGTGATACCTTAACCTGTTTCCAAACATGCCTAGAGCAATACAAGGCACTTCAGGTTAGTATTTTTTTTTTTTTTCAAAAATGCAGGGACGTTTCTGTCGTTTTTTCTTCTTTGGCCCGTTCCAGCGCACGGCAGTTGCGCAAACAGAAGTAAACTACTCGCCGAGTGCGACCGTCTCTTGTTTATCCATCCGAAGGTGCAAGGACGGCACGATGGCTGCTGGGCGCTGGACGGCGCTTGTTTGACAAGCCCTAAGCGCGCCAAATAGGTAAACACCCTCGCCGTTTATTCGCGGCACTTTGACGAGGTGCAGCATTGCGCAGTGGATCTGCCCGAAGACCGGTGGAGGCGGCCGAAACTCTGGACGCGTTTTGAGCTCCAGAGTCGCCAAGTGGGACTCGAACCGAACGTGCGACCCCACCAATGAATTGCTCTCCGAACGAGGAATCCATTGGTGGGGTCACATTTTCGGTTCGAGTCCTGTTTAGCGACTCTGGAGCTCAAAACGCGTCTGGATTTTTGGCCGCCTCCACCGGTCTTCTGGCCCACTGTGGCTGCCTCAACAGTTGACAGCGCCGGACAGAACAAGACGGCGAGTCGCGCAAAGTGAAACCAGTGAGACCCGATGGAATAAATAAATATGGCGTCTGGCTTTATTCCAAAAGCGAGCCTGTGCATATTCATGGGCCCACCGAGGTGAGAGGGGTGGGGGTGGGGGTGGGGTCGAATCGCGCCCAAAATGTTGAAGTATTCGGGTCATTCGTGCGCGAATAGCGGCGCGTGTTGCGCAGGCCTGCCAACCGATTAAAGTTTCAAACGCCACTACCGCCTGGCGATCGCCGAGCTAGAAAGGCATCGCAGTGCGTGTTGTTTTGTTGTTGTTTACGGGCCAGAAGAACAACAACACACCGGCCGAAACTCTGGAAGCGTTTTGAGCTCCAGAGTCGCTGAGCAGGACCCAAACCAAACGTGTGACCCCACCAATGGATTCCTCGTTCGGAGAGCAATCCATTGGTGGGGTCACACGTTCGCTTCGAGTCCCATTTAGCGACTGTGGAGCTCAAAACGTGTCCGGGGTTTTGTCCGCCTCCGCCGGTCTTCTGGCCCACTGTGCGGGCTCCAGGATGACTCTGCCTGATTATGCTAGTGTAAGTGGGCCGCCTGCCCGCCTCCGCGCTGCCAGCCGTCGTGACCACGTCTCTCCCTCTCTCTCTCTCCCTCTCTGTCCCTCTCCCCCCTCCTCTCTCTCTCTCTCTCTCTCTCTCTCTCTCTCTCTCGTTCTGGCCTTTCTTATCCCGCGTGTTTGTCATCTCCTTATTTGTTTGCCCAGAGGGGGCTCCAAGGCGACACCTCCGCGGGGGTCGGCCGGAACCGGAAAGAGGGGGGAGGGGGCAGACCCTCGCGGTGCGAATAATCTCGCGTCATCACACAAGACGTCCGGACCACTCTCTCTCTCTCTCTCTCTCTCTCTCTCTCTCTCTCTCTCTCTCTCTCTCTCTCTCTCTCTCTCTCTCTCTCTCTCTCTCTCCCTCTCTCTCTCTCCACCGGGAGGGGGTGCGAGAGAGACAGAGCGAGGGTCCGCCGCGCTGCTCGTCAGCCGCGGCCATCTATTCATTCGAGACGGGAATCTGGTTGGCGGTGGAAAAATTGGCAAAATTATGCGATGTAGATTGGGTCTCCCGGTTGTCGGCAAGTGAAATATGGCGGTACTGTTTCTGCCCGCGCCGTGTCGTGCCGTGCCGTGCCGCGCCGCGCCGTCGTCAAGAGCGGGGGAGTGCTCAGCCTGAGTCGAAGAAACTCTCCTTCCCCCGAAACAACAACGGCAACGAGCACGGCAACAGCAATCTATTGCTGAATAAACTCAAAGATAATCGGAGCGGGTGGACGGGGCGTCCAGTGCCGTGCTGCCGTATCAGACACAAATTAAACAGTCTCCCTACACTTGCCGCCCCGCACCACCCCGCCCGGCCCCACCCCACCCCGCCCCGGCGGACGAGCACCTAAACCTGCCATTCCGGCGACCGATACTGTCCGGCCCCGCCCTTGCCCTTTGCACCCTTGCAAATTGGACGTTTCGGCTATCTGACGCTTCCAATCTGGGCGCCGTGATGGGACCGGGTTCGAATACTGGCCGGATAGGCATTTCGCGTCTTTTGCTTTTCTAATTGGGCTCTCGCTTCCCGCCCCTGTCATCATCGCGTTATGTCGAGCGGTTCACAGTGGATTGGCCAGAAGGCCGGCGGAGGCGGTCGAAACACCGGACGCGTTTTGAACTTCCAGAGTCGCTAAACAGGACTCGAACCGAAGGAGTGACCCCACCAATGGATTCCTCATTCGAAGAGCAATCCATTGGTGGGGTCACACGTTCGGTTCGAGTGCCGGTTAGTGACTCTGGAGCTCAAAACGCGTTCGGTGTTTCGACCGCCTCCGCCGCGGTCTTCTGGCCAATCCACCCTGCGCCTTGGCCGGGGAACGGAAGCTTGCCGGCCAAACTTGCAATTATTGGGTTAAAGCATTAGAACGATTAGCAAGACGCTGCACTGCAAGGCACTGCCCGGCAACAGCACTGCATAATTAACGTCGGGATGGTCAAAACTCGGCCGGCCATCCATTATTTGCAGGAGCCGATATTTCCACTTCAAAGTGGAGCGGAGCGGACCGACCCTCTAATATCCATGCTTTGGCGCTGCGGTGCCGGCCGAGCCGAGTCGTGCCGAGCCGAGCCGAGCCGTGCCGAACCGAGCTGAGCGAAGCCGAGCCGTGCTGAGTCGAGCCGTGCCGAGCCAAGCCGAGCCGTGCCGTGCCGATCCGTGCCGAGCCGAGCCGAGCCGTGCTGAGTCGAGCCGAGCCCTACCCCTATTTGCCATGCGCCCCATGCGGCAGTGGCGGCAGTGGTGCGACGGAGACAGACGCGACCCTGGCCGACCGCGCTTCATTCACCCCGGACGGATCTGTTAGTTCCGGCGCTCTCGACCGGCAAGCTGAAAAGTGAGAGGAGAGGAACCGGAAGGGGGGGGGGAACAAACAGTGGTGGGGCACAGTGGGCCAGAAGCCGGTGGAGGCGGCCAAAACTCTAGACGCGTTTTGAGCTCCAGAGTCGCTAAATGGGACTCGAACCGAACGTGTGACCCCACCAATGGATTCCTCGTTCGGAGAGCTATCCATTGGTGGGGTCACACGTTCGTTCGAGTCCCATTTAGAGACTCTGGAGCTCAAAACGCGTCTAGAGTTTTGGCCGCCTCCACCGGCTTCTGGCCCACTGTGTGGGGCATCGTTTGAGATACGGTGCACCAAGAAAAAAAAATGTCCCGGTTCAAAAATTGCCGAAATGAAGCCGTTTTATTAAATCGATCCGATGAGATCGTTTTCTGAATGTGGGGTGTTTCTTTTTCGACGGTTGGGTGTAAAAGAAGACAGAAACTTTTTCTAAACTACAAAAAAGCATTACTCGCTTCATTTTTTTTTTTAACTAGAACTTTTTATTGTACCAAGTGACGCCAGATGGAAGTAAAACGAAGCCAAAAAAATTGACGGCTACCCTTTTTCCCCTGCAGGGCATGCCCTCTGCGCTGTTTGTCACCGAGTGTGTCGTGCGTTTGTAGTTTGTTAATGTCGGGGGACTTAGCTAGAGTCCCCCTCTGGCTGCATTAAAAAAGAGAAGAGGTAGACGGGCGCAGAATGGTCGCACGACTCATTTAGCGCTGCTTTATTGCGAATGCATTAGAAACTGTGAAAAAGAGGGCAGGGACGGTGAGGGAGAGAGCGAGAAGAATGATCCGGGGAATTCATAATGTGGTTATCAAAAGGCTATTGGCCCTACGGAGCCGGGCCGCAGCGGGCCGAGGGCTCAGTGGGGGTGGCGGGGCGGCCAGCGCACAGTGGGCCAGAGGACCGGCGGAGGCGGTCAAAAGCCCGGACGCGTTTTGAGCTCCAGAGTCGCTAAATGGGACTCGAACCGAACGTGACCCCACTAATGGATTCCTCGTTCGGAGAGCAATCCATTGGTGGGGTCACACGTTCGGTTCGGTCATGTTTAGCGACTCGGGAGCTCGAAACGCGTCTAGAGTTTTGGTCGCCTGCACCGGTCTTCTGGCCCACTGTGGCCAGTGCCACACTACGTGGGAGGAGCCCGCCCTTTGTGAAGGGCTTTGCAAACAGCGGCGGGGTCTGCAGCCCGGCGTTGCACGCGGCGTTTCACAGTGCGCTGCACAGCGCGGATTCATTTCTAGGAAGCTGCTCTGCTCGTTTCGATGCCGAGAGGTGGATTCCCGTTCGGCCCGCATGCGGCCACAATCACAACCCTGTTACCCATCCCGTTCAAGCAAAAATTCGTCTCAATACTAAAATTTAAGAAATGGTGTAAATGAGATCTGCTCTGCTAGGTATCGACTCACCGTGCTCATTTGCTGTGTTGCAGACGCGTCGAGGACCGCGGCGTCGGCCGCCGCCTGGGCGCCCCTGGTCCTTGTGGCGATGGTGCTTCGGCGGTAGCGTGACCACTGAGTCACCCTGCCCTCCCCAGCATCTGCAGCGGTCGCAGTGGGCTAGACCGGCAAAGCGGCCAAAACTCTAGACGCGTTTTGAGCTCCAGAGTCGCTAAATAGGACTCGGACCGAACGTGGGACCCCACCAATGGATTGCTCTCCGAACGAGGAATCCATTGGTGGGGTCACACGTTCGGTTCGAGTCCCATTTAGCGGACTCTGGAGCTCAAAACGCGTCCGGGATTTTGACCGCCTCTGGCCCACTGGGCAGCGGTCGCGCAGCGCTGACCCGCAGATGCGGAACGATTGACCGTCAGTGCGTCCCTCACCGCATCGGCTGCCAACGGACCTGCAGCGACCGCGCTCCCTCTGTGCCTGCGCCTGCAAGCCTGGAGGCAGCCTGGAGGTAGCCTGGAGGCAGCCTGGAGGTAGCCTGGAGGCACGGAGGAGCCTGGAGGAAGCCTGAGGCAGCCTGGAGGCAGCCTAGGACCTGGGCAGCCGGGAGGCAGCCTGGAGGAGCCTGGAGCTGCAAGCCTGGAGGCAGCCTGGAGGAGTCCTGGAGGAAGCCTGGAGGCAGCCTGGAGGCAGCCTGGAGGCAGCCTGGAGGCAGCCTGGAGGCAGCCTGGAGGCAGCCTGGAGGCAGCCTGGAGGCAGCCTGGAGGCAGCCTGGAGGCAGCCTGGAGGAAGCCTGGAGGCAGCCTGGAGGCAGCCTGGAGGCAGCCTGGAGGCAGCCTGGAGGCAGCCTGGAGGAAGCCTGGAGGCAGCCTGGAGGCAGCCTGGAGGCAGCCTTGCCGGCCCTGGAGTTGCGGTCCGGGCCACCTTCTGCAGAGTGCGAGAAGACGAGTGCTGGCTCCTGGAGACAGACATTTCAGAGCTCTCGGGACGTCTAGAACGCATTCGGGATTTAGTGAAATTTTGAAATGGGTGTTCTTAAAAAAAAAGTGCACGAACGAAAAGAGGCGAAAGCCTTTTCTTTCGTAGTGGAAATGTATTTACCGCGTTGTCCATCCAAAACATTGTTTAGCAGCGTACTGATCACTTCATTGCGACTGCCAACTTAAATTTTAGCCATTTTACCATCAATCTTTCTACCAATCTTTTGAAAATGCTCTGTAAACATTTTTCCACGTTTTCGTTAGATTTTATTGTAAAACGATCGCCGACTGGCGGGCAGTTACAGCAACTAAGCAATTGTTAATGAAATTCCAAAACTGTAGCCTTACCCCTTTGTGAATGTGTGTAAAACGAGGCGGCCGCGCCGCGCTCGGTTGTAGAGAAAATCGGTCTGCGTACGCTGTACATGTTAAGCTTCCCAGTTTATGTCGCTTTGATTTCGTTGTCGAGCCATCTGCGATGAATGTGTTTTGTTGTTGTTTTTTTTAACGTTTTTAGCCTTTCTGTGGTGAAATGTTTGTGTACAGTCTCCGTCTATTTCCACCACGTGCAAGACGCGTAATTAGGGATAATTTATGGGAACCGTTCTGACAATGTAAATATATTTGTGTAAGGAAAGCTGTGAACGTCGTAATGCAACGAATTGGCTCAAGTACTGCTGTAGATCTTGCAAAAGATATTTCGTATAATTTGTTGTTATTTTTATTGGACTGGCGTGGATCCCACGGTGTAGGTGGGCGGGGCGATACGAGGCATGCGCGGCATGCGAAGGCAGTGATGAAATAAATCTGACACAAAAACTACTTCGGCCTGTCACTGCGACCCGCACCAAAAGCCATCCACAAGTGCACAGACTATCAAATAGAATTACGTTCCCTTTTAATTATTTTTTGAAAGAGGTCCCCGGGGACCAAAATGACCGCGCGAACCTCCTTTGTCTTCCCGTCTCCCCACCCCTTCCCCATTCTACCCCGCTCTCGCGTCGTCGGTCATAAATTTCATTTAAATGATATTCTAATTGCTCAGCGACGCGAGACATAACACCACCTAAAATTATGTCCCCACAACAACAACAACAACAACAACAACAACAACAACAACACAACGACGACGACGACAACAACAACAACAACAACAACTCTACAGCTGCGGCGAAGGCAGCGCGCCTGTGATCGAGAGGGTAGGCAACGCGCTGCGCTGCCCGGCGCGGCGGGCCCGCACTTGTCGCCCTGTCTGGGTTGCACCCTCATGGAGAGCCCCCTGAGTGCGACAGAGACAGCGCGACGAAAACGACTCGCTGCTCACGGCGCTACCCCGCGCGGACGGGACGCGTCGAGGAGTATCGGCAGCAGGGGATCTTCTTGACCAGTCTCGTCAGAGTGACACTGCAAAGTCAACGTTTCGGGGCTCTGGATTTTGATTTTTCGCAACGCCTGGAGAACACTACTGGCCAATCGGAGGGACTGGCGCGCCATGGTGGTGCCACACTGTTGGAGGATGGTACACTGCTCGGCTTGCCCCGGGCCCCTCGCCTTCCCTTGCCTCTCGCCCGGCCCAGGCCGCGAGCGCGTTCAGTCAACCGATCATAATTCATTCCGTACATCTTAGAAACTTCTCTTTAAAAAGTTGGGCTCGATTTCACCGCGGCGAGGGGCGCGGCAGGGCAGGGCGCCTCGCTGCGCACGGCTTGGGCTGCATCGCGGCAAGCAAGGGTTCAGGGTTCAAACCCCGACTTTTTGAAAAATAAAAAATAAATAGTTTGAGGGGTTTGGGGGTCTGGTCGTGAACCTTTCTAGGAAGGAGGGTGGTTTATGAAGCGGTCCTTGAGGGGCCCTTGCAGTGGTGAGGGCGATGCACAGTGGGCCAGAAGACCGCTGGAGGCGGTCAAAAATTCCGGACGCGTTTTGAGCTCCAGAGTCGCTAAATGGGGCTCGAACCGAGCGTGTGACCCCACCAATGGATTGCTCTGCGAGCGAGGAATCCATTGGTGGGGTCACTCGCTCGATTCGAGTCCTGTTTAGCGACTCTGGAGCTCAAAACGCGTCCAGATTTTTGTCCGTCGGCGCCGGTCTTCTGGCCCACTGTGGTCGCGCCGCGCTCCTCCGCGGGCATCCGCTTATCAGATGCTGGAATACATTTCGTTCCCGCTGGGCGCGTTTTGCCGTTTTGCCGGAGTGGAAGGGCGGGCAGCTCGTTCCGGCAAACCTGCGCCAGGGTCGAGCCGGAGCGGCGCGGCTTGCCGGTCTCAGGTTACCGAGACGCGACTGTAGACGCCGTCCGCGACGCCGTCAGCATGCAACGACACGGCCGGGCCCGAACATTCATTACTTCCAAGCGGCAGAAGTTGAAAAGAATGGCTGTTTAACTACGATGAAAAATTTGCTGTTTGCGAGTTGAGAGAGGGGCGCACCAAGCCGCTGTGAGAGTTCGCTCACAGAAGAAAAGAGCATTACGCAAGTTGGGATTTACGCGTCCGCGTCACAAGTCGACGAGTCGGACGATTCCGAAGTCATTTCAACGCTCTGTCTCTCTCGCAGCGCGGCTGCGACGCAGGGAGAGAGAGAGAGAGAGAGAGAGAGAGAGAGAGAGAGAGAGAGAGAGAGAGAGAGAGAGAGAGAGAGAGAGAGAGAGAGAGAGAGAGGCCCTTGAGACGCTGCCCTGATGGGCCTAAAGGCCATCCTGAAGGGCCCGACGGGTTCACCATCCCTTGGCCTAGCCATCCAAGCCCCTGGCCTGCCGTGGTCGTCTCGGGGTCCTCGGAGAGGCAGAGCAAGGCAGAGCGAGGCAGAGCCGCGTGTTGCCATCCCGTTTGATATACCGGTATGCTAATTTCCAATTTACATGGGTGCTCCATATCAAAGCTCTTTGCCAAAACTACGCCGGTTTGCGCGGTCAGGGGTCGCTCGCAGTTCGCTACGCTCACGCTCCACTCCGGCGTGGCGGTGACGGACCCACGGGTCTCTCTTTGCACCGAACCGACAGAGGGCTCCGTCCGTTCCATCGCGTGCTGGACTTTTCCTGTCCAAAGACCGCCAAAGACTTCCCTTTCCGGGAGGAGGTTCGCTCGTCTTGTTTGGAGTAAATAGCTCGATGCGCTTCCATTTAGTTGTAAACCCGCTCGCACACCATCGGACCATTTCCCATTTATTCGGGGAGCAACTTCCCAGACCGCACCCTCGTTCTGATCTTTTCTTCTTTCCACTTCTTCTGGTTCCGCCTTTTCCGCCGCCGCTGTTTCTCAGCCCAAGGAGATTTCTCATACACCAAGTAGCCAGCCTCTCTGCAGACAGCACCCACCGAAAGGCAATGTGAATCCGAATGCACGGACCTGACCCTGACACACATTCACATCGAGGGCAGCAGACTACTCTGCACTCCGTGTCGCCGTGCCGTTAATTGCATTAACTTTGTCAAGTTTTGACGCACTTTAGACCTACAGCAGGGTGCCGGAGCCCACCACGTCTGCCGAAAATGTTGCTCGGCAATGCGGACGAGATACTGGACATTTTTAAGGCGTTTGTGCCATATTACCTGCTGATTGCTCTGCCCCTGATGATCATAATCTCACCGGTAAACCCCGTGGAAGCGGCTCAGGAGTTCCAGGCGTACCGCATGCAGCAATATGACTTGCACGGAGTGCCCCACGGTTCGTATTTATCGAGTGAAGGCTGCCCATTGATTCCTCGACGTTCTTGCTAAAGTGTTCCTCATAATTTTGAGGTTATGGTTTCACCATCAGCTGACTAGCTCAGTCATTTCTGGTCATTTCTTGCCAGTCAATTCAGGGTTAAGCACACCACTGATGATGTGTGGGAATCATAAACTTGAACATCAAATTTTATTTTTCTCTCATGACTTTGTCCCTGTCACTTAACTCACAAAATTTTTTGTCATTTGCAGGCTGCCGATCATCAGTGGTGAGTCTGGACGGAAGGGGTTTAGGTAGCTGGTCCTCCAGTCGTCACTGTGTTGTGGCTCGCATTGAAGACCTGACTGTTGACCTTTACCGGGAGATCAGAAGCCGAGCAGGGGCACTTCTTGTTATTCTGCCCAAACAAGAAGAAATTGCCAAGTTATCTGACACGGCAAAGCAGGTAATTTCATAATGCATATTATAATTCCGTATACGGAAAGCATCTGGCAAACTTTTACTAATGATGATGTCACGGCTCTTGCAGCATATTCTTAACTTGGAACAAGCAATGATGCAGCAAGAAACTCAAATCCCAGTTTACTTTTCTCATTGGGTTCCTGAGGTTCAGTCTATTTTAGATGACATTGATGAAATTTCTCCCACATCCACTCAAAAAGGAACAGCTGCTGAAGGTACAATACATGGATATGTTATACTGGAAGTGGAGTAATGAAATAACTGTGCCTTTCTTATTTTAATAACCTTCTCTTTTTTTAGCATTACTTAGTCAAATTTCAGCTAACGGATATCAAATTGTTGTTGGAGCTAATCACCCATCTCTGCGATCTGACATCAGCATTGCCTCAATTCATGTAAGTCAAAAGTCAATCTTAAACTAAATCCAACATTGTACTTTGCTAATTCATTGCCTTCTGAAGGTGCCTCAAAAAAATACAATTTTCTGATGTTTATTTTACAGGGCAAACTGGTTGGAAATGGACATGAAGATAAATTACCCACAATAGTTTTAGTTGCTCATTACGACAGTTTTGCTGTGATCCCGGTGAGTTGAAAATTTATAACATTCTTAACTAACATCTTTAAATGTAATCCTTGAACTGTATGTCATCAATTGTTTGGCAGGGTGGAGCTTATGGTGCTAATTCTAATGCTGCTGGCGTTGCCATGATTCTTGAACTGGCAAGAGTGATGTCTTCTCTTTAGCCGATTCTCGCACTCATCCCCGTTACAACTTGGTCTTTTTACTGCCTGGAGGCGGCAAAATGAACTACCAAGGAAGTAAGAAATGGTTAGAGGACCAAGTTGATGGCGAAAATGCTTTACCTCAGGTTAGCATTGCATGCTCTACAATTATCTTGTTTTAATTTTGAGCATGAGTGTGTCTAGCTAACAAAATGTGCTTCTTCTCAGGATAGTACCTATGTTCTTTGCCTGGACTCGATTGCTGGGTCTGGTCCTCTGTATTATCACGTATCCAAACCACCAAAGGAAGGAAGTGTTGGTGATCGCCTGATTCGGGCACTGAATCTGGTCGCAGAGCAAGAAGACCCACCCACTAATGTGCAGCTTAATCACAAAAAAATTAATCTGGCTGAAGAAACATTGGCTTGGGAACATGAAAGATTTAGTATGAAGAGACTTCCAGCTGCAACCTTGTCAACGCTGAAGGTATAAAAAAAGTTGCCCATTTAAATTTTTGTTATAAATTAAAAATAATCTAATGTAACTGCTATTCCTTTTTTGTTTTTCAGAACCATAAAGACTATATGCGTACCACTATTTTGGACACCAAAGATCAGTTAGACATGTCTATTGTTGTGAGGAACACTCGCATAATTGCTGAAGCACTAGGCAAACACATATTTGCTTTGAACTCAGGAAAGATCTTCAGTAATCAATTGGTATGTCTCTCCCATACATTTGTTTTATTGGTAAAAGGAAATAACTTGAAATAGAAAATAGTTTTTATCTTGAATTTTTAATCTTCTTGTCATTGTTATAAATGTAGGGTGTTGATGAAAATTCTCTTCAAATGTGGATGGATTATCTAACTGGAACACCGCGGTCCTCTCAGCTATTGGCTCACAAAAATAATCAAGTTGTGATAGCATTGAAGGATGCATTGGGAAAGTGAGTGCTCATAAATTTATTGTTTGAGTTTTATTTTTATTTTTTGTCAATTTCTATTTCTTTTCTGTTTGTCTCCCCATTAACCCTTCTTTACCCTTCCTCTTTGTAGGTACCTTAAAAATGTGAAGGTAACACACATGGTGCCAGACAAACGCGACCCTGAACTGGCATTTTATGAACCTACAAGGACAGTCATGAATGTGTACAGGTAAGCCTTGTTTATTGTGTTGTTCTTAGGTCGAGCAAACAAAAGCTTGAACTATTACTTGCAACATGGGTAAGGCTCTGTGTGAGGATTAGAATTTTTTTTTAACAGATGATACCGTAACATAATAAAACACAGAGTTACTCAAGGTGGCAGCTAGCTTACCAACGTTATTTTACATTTACTTTACTTTTGAACCATCTTTATATAATTCCCATTTATTTTGTTTCAGTGTCAAGCCGGCTATTTTTGATCTCATCTTGACTTTTGCCATCATTGCTTATTTACTTATTATTTATCTGGTACTTATGGTATGTTTCACCAGGCTATCTTTGTTAGCATTGTGAGTTTATGTTGAAGAGCCGTCATGATTTTTAACCAATACTTGTCTTCTCTTTTCCAGAACTTCTCTTCTATTTACAAAGTGGCTACAGTCATTGTGGGAGTGCAAAAGAGCAAGTCTTACTAGAATAAACAGCAAGTAATTTGATGAGCTAATTTATTGTTAATTAAGTTGGTTAATCTGGTTTAGAACTTGTTACTTTTGCACATTTTGTGTTTGACTTAAAATTCTGTGTAGCCTTCATCAGTCTTAGACCACCTATTACAATTTTTTTTTCCTTCCCAACGATTTATATCTATCTTCATGAAATGTATTTGCCACTAGCCTTTCTTGTAATGCTCCTGTGTTCATTGTTTTTAGTTAAGGCTAGTCTCAGCTGCTGTTTTTACGAATTTGTATGATGTGTTATTTGTTCCTCACTGAGGCTGTTGTATTTACAGTATGTTTTTTGCTTGTATTTAATCTCATTTGAGAGATTACATTCAGGGTGAAAAGTTTTTAAGGCTGTTTAGAGTTTTCAGTTTTTAGACTAATGGTGCTCCATCCAATATCACCAAAATCAATTCATACCTTATATATTTGATGTGTAGTTGAATGGTATTGGAATGAAAGGAAAAAGACTCTGCTTAACCTTTCTGTCCGCTTATAAAATGATTGAAGCCTGCTACAGGTTTGAATATTTTGTGTATCTTCTTAACTTTGTAGATGTTGCATGGATGGTAAATTACTTGACAAAAAGTGGAATGGGGCCAAAGTTAAACCAAACAACAAACATATTTTGAGGCTTAAGACTAATTACATCCCCAATCATTTTTACAGTTTATCTTTACTGTTTTCTGTTTTTTTTTGTTTTTTTCTGTTTATATTGATGCTTGTCAATATTTTACTCTGTGTTTATGTTGCATGTCATGAACTATGTATCATTAAGTTGGTATTGACATTATTCCTCTCCCTAATGACAATGCTTTCAACAAACGGCACTTCAGTAATGCATAATATGATTTAAAGATCTCTAGTCGACTATAGGGAGGGACAGTATGGAAATGCTGGCCTCTTGGTATGGAAGTTTTCAAGTTTTTATATATATAGGTATTATTTCAGTATGTGTTTCACTGTCATGTACCTTGTGTCTTAGAATATTATGTTCATATTTATGAGGCAATTATTATCAATCTCAATCGCCCAATTTTTTTTGTAAAGAAAGTCTGTTTGTTTTTGTTAAAAATTGAAACGCTGTGTAATATTAATAAATTGATATGAGAAAGATGAGACTCATTCTTTTCAATTCAATTATGAGAATGGAAAGTGGAAATCCTTCTTTTCCCCTCTGGCCCGTTTGAGCGGCCGCCGCCGTGGAGGTGGGCCACCCATCGTACACAGCCTCGTCCCCCTCGCCCCGTAGGGCCCGTGGGTGCGAGAGAGACAGAGCGACGAAACGCTGCCTGGAGTGGGCCTGCTGGACAAGCAGGACTCGGTCATAACCGCAGTGAAAGGAACAAGGGTGCACGTGTCTTGGCAGCCTTTGCAGCCTTGGCGTCGCGAGGACTCTGGACTCCAGCGCACAGGTGTCCCGGCCCCGGCCGGCCGGTGGACTGACGGGACGGACCGGGCTGGCAGGCTGGCCCACAGGGGCGCCGGCCTGACGCCCTGCTCAGGCCCTCCCTCACACACTCGCGCACCTGCCCGGTCGTGGGCCCTGCTAAAATTCGAAGTAACGTGAGAGAGAGATTTCGCAACACGGACACACACACACACACACACACACACACACCTCCGGGCGCATGGAGTAGAGGCGACGGGTCTGTGCTGCTACTGCCGGTGGGGACAGAATCTATCCGATAGATACTCTGTCCATGAGGTCCTTTCCATGAAAATATCACCCAAAGTGGGAGTGTGGCCACCACTCACACACACACCTGCCCTAACCTGCCCGAGGGTACGATCCTTTCGCTTTCGAAAACGCTGCCTAGAGTGAGGATGATCCCGCGCCAACGAGTACACACGCACACACACTCTTCAGGGGAAATAACCAACGCCGGCATTACATCACGTCGATTCGACGCGTCAGGAGACTGATGCCGAGAGTCGTTCTTGGTCGCTCTGTCGCTCGCTCGCACCGACCCGGGACGCCCCGCGAGTGCGAGAGCGACGGAGCGACGAGAAGATGACTCTCGGCATCAACCCCGCCGCGCACACCGCGCACGTCCGCGACGACGGCGACGCCTCGGCCGCACGGCCTAGCACAGTGGGCCAGAAGCCGGTGGAGGCGGCCAAAACTCTAGACGCGTTTTGAGCTCCAGAGTCGCAAAGCAGGACTCGAACCGAACGTGTGACCCCACCAATGGATTGCTCTCCGGAGAGGAATCCATTGGTGGGGTCACACGTTCGTTTCGAGGCCTGTTTAGCGACTCTGGAGCTCAAAACGCGTCTAGAGTTTTGGCCGCCTCCACCGGCTTCTGGCCCACTGTGCCTAGAGGCCGACCGACACGGAACCGGCATCTTTTTCCCCGTCGCGTCTCACGTTGAACCGGTAACCGTTTTCGAACGCGGCAGGGCTGCCAACCCACGTACCGCAGTGAGCGGGAAAGGGGGGGGGCGTACACTGGCGAACTCCTTTTCGCTGTGTGGCTCTGTAGGAATCAGTTAAACTCGAGTCACGGGTCCCAGTTGGGGCTCAGGCTCAGTTTGGACCTGAGACCTTTAGGGCTGAAACGGAATGGGGTTCAAACGGGATGGGGCTCACCCCGTCCCCGTCTGCCGTGATACGCTAGGAAAGGTGTCGGTCCGCGGGTTGTGGCGTCAGAGCGGCGTGGCGCGTGGGGTATCGCCGGGCCTTCCCTGGCCGGCGGAGTCCCTCGCGGCCGGAGTATCGACGGAGCAGACGTTTGTCTCCGGCCGGGCTGCGGCGCGGAAGCTCTCGCCGATCAGGTTCCTCTTCGGCCGGGACTTCCTGTTTTTCGAGGAAAGCTGATTTTGGGTGGACCTCCGTCGCATTCTCGGCCGCGCGTTTCGGCCATAAAAGCCGACGACTTGACGCGCCGGGGCTGGGAGTTGAACCCACGACCTCTCCCAGCAGCGACGCAACCGTGAAAAAAAAAAGGAAATGGCACGGATCGAACGCCGGTCCTGAGAGTCGGAAAACCGGTGCGTTTACGCTCGCGGCCACAACCACCGGCACTTTGTTTGGTGTGTACAGCGTGTCGTGGCAGTGGCCGTTATAACTAACATGTTGCTTTCGGGGCCGCAGGGCCACTGTGGGGTCACCGGGCGCCAATCAGCGGGCCGATTCCGAGAGTCGCATTCGTCGCTCTGTCTCTCTCGCACTCGTGGGGCGCCCCGTACAGGTGCGAGGGAGACAGAGCGACGAAAACGACTCTCAGTGTGCAGGACCGCGCGAGCTGTTGGCGGGTACTTACAGCCGCCTTACCTGTCCGGGACACCTGCGCTCCCTCGGGGCCCATGCACAGTGGGCCAGAAGACCGGCGCAGGCGGCCAAAACTCTAGACGCGTTCTGAGCAGCAAAGTCGCTAAACAGGACTCGAACGGAACGTGTGACCCCACCAATGGATTGCTCTCCGAACGAGGAATCCATTGATGGGGTCACACGATCAGTTCGAGTCCTGTTTAGCGACTCTGGAGCTCAAAACGCGTCCAGAGTTTTGGCCGCCTCCACCGGTCTTCTGGCCCACTGTGCATGGGGGCCCATGGGGCCGGCGAGTGCCGACGGGTACCCCGCGGGTACCGCGCCGGGTGCCTCCGCGTCCCAGAAGAAAGCGGCTGCAGGTCCGGAGGAAGGGGGGGAGGAGCCACCGGGCAGAGCAGGCAGAGCCCCGGGCCGCATTCTTGCCGGCAGAGGAGTCTGCCCGATCGCCGGCGCCTCGCTGCAGGCCCCGTGTTTGAAGGTGGCCCTCGTTACGTCGCCGGCATTGAATTTCTCTTAATTACGCCCTGCACACTGAGAGTCGCTCTCTCTCGCACTCACGGGGCGTCCCTCACAGGAGCGAGAGAGACAGAGCGACGAGAACGACTCTCGGAATGTCTGCGGAGGCCCTCGGCCCGCGGCTGACGCGGACGTCACTGATAACAGGAAAAGTAGCGATATACATCGGCAACTTTGGCCCGTCCCGTACATTAACAAATGTGTGAATTTCGCCTTTGTTTAACCCTGACGGGTTTGAACCTGAGTCTGGGGTCAAAATAGATGTTATTTTCGTCATCAGCGCCCTCAAAAACATAAGAAATAATGCAAACACTCGAATAAAAAGAATGTTCAAAATATACCCCACTGGGATTTGAACCCGGGTCCAAACTTCTCCGATTCACTTGAAACTGGCACCGTTGGTTTTGTCTCGTCGCCCCGATTCCAAAAATACCCCTACATGCCCTGCTAGCGTATCCGTTGCCGAAATCCTCCTCGACCCCATGTAGACCATGATGCACCTGCAGCAGCGCCCCGGGGCTCGGATCGGATTTGCTGCCACCGGCGGTTCTTAGGGTCACCCTAGGAGGCTGCATACCTAATTGGTCAAGATCGGACCACGGGAAGTCCTCGGACGAACGAACGAACGAACGAACGGACGAACGGACGCACAGCATGCATCATACTATATGCCCGTCCCTCCGTCATTTTTTTTACAAAAAATAAACGGGACGGGCCAAAAATTGAGGTAGGGTTAGCAGTGACGTGCCGAAAAGGCTCCCCCTTTTTTTAGCTTTAGACAGCCATTTGGAGCCAGAATACCAGTGGAGGCGGTCAAAATTCTAGACGCGTTTTGAGCTCCGGAACCGCTTGATGGGACTCAAAGTGAGCGAGTGGCCCCACCAATGGATTCCTCGTTCGGAGGGCAACCCATTGGTGGGGTCACACGTTCAGTTCGAGTCCCATTTAGCGACTCTGGAGTTCAAAACGCGTCGGGAATTTTGGCCGCCTCCACCGGTCTTCTGGCAAGTCCACTGTGTGGGTTAGGTCAGGTCGTCTCGATGAAGTGACCCAGCGCCTACTTACACGCGCGGCGCTGCCGATGCCCAATTTCCCTTTCCCATGTCGCTTGGCGCGCTTGCCGCTCAGCCTGCCTAGCCTCGCTCGGGGCCTCCTTTTGCCGGCTTGCCTAGGCTTGCCGCATGGCGACCTCTTGACCCCTTCCTCTTCCTATTCAGCGTGGCGAAGCGCGAAGAGAGGGAGAGAGAGAGAGAGAGAGAGAGAGAGAGAGGAGAGAGAGAGAGAGAGAGAGAGAGAGACAGACAGACAGACAGACAGAGAGAGACAGACAGACAGACAGACAGACAGAGAGAGAGAGAGAGAGAGAGAGAGGAGACAGAGAGAGAGAGAGAGAGAGAGAGAGAGAGAGAGAGAGAGAGAGAGAGAGAGAGAGAGAGCACCGCATGGCGTGGCTGATGCCGATGTGGCCGACGTGGAATTTGGAAAGAGATAATATGGAGGAGGACGGGGTGCAATCATTCTCTGGGCCGGAGTTTGTTTGGCGAGCGGCGCAGAGTC